TGCTCACAGTTGAGAATATTTCATCGTTTTCGATCACAGGCTCTTGACGTATAGATAATGTAAGCCCCCCCCCCCTTCCTTGTTTTGAGAATTTTTTAAGACATAATAACTGCAAGAATACATTGATTCTTAGCATAACTTCTGATATCTGATATCATTTCTCTTTTTATGTTACCTCTGCTGATTGATTCTACAAGATTCTGAAGTTTCCTCAATGGATCATAGTAAGCTTTTACAAATAAACTCTTAGAAAAATTAAGGTATTTGAAAAGTGCTGCGTTCCTGGTGAAATCTTGAAAATGAATTAATTATATCTATATTTAATGTCGTTGACCAGCAAAAAATTGAGCATGCTGCCATACAATCATTATTTTAACAATGAAATAACAGAATCTATACAGAATCGCAGCACTTTTCAGAAACTACAATGCGTATTGAAAATATTTATAAACTTAACTTAGAATTTTAAATTTGTTATGCCCTTGCACTAATGAAATTTATAGGTGACCTCAATACTGGAAGTATCTGTGCTAAATATAAAATCCAATCGTCCTCAATGTGTAGTTCTTAACGATTAGTTATATATAACCGATATAAATAAAGTTCTAAAAAGAATCGCCATCCTGGTTAAAAATATATTTTTAAATCATAAAAAATTGCAAATATTTCCATTGCGCACCTTAACTGTACTGCGCAGTGATAACAGAGGGGCAGGGTGACTAGGGGACATGTTGTAGTTTGTGACAAGTGCAAATAGCCACATTTTATAGCCAAGCGGCGAGTGCCGACAACAGGTATTACCAAGGTGTTTGTAAAGCCAAGAGACAAGTGTTGATACCAAGTGTTACCAAGTGGCAAGCTCCTAAGATTCGGCATCACTTCGAGTAAATATGCAGGCATGAGAGATTTCTCTTTGTGTACTTAATTGTAGCACTATAGGCAAGTGACAAAAACATATCTGTATATATTGAATATCTTACACTTTAGGCAAGTGTCTATTGTATAATATTTGTATATTTTATATTCATTATCGTCCTTGTAGGGCTGGGCAATAATACCGATATTCCGATATATTGCGGTATGATGAAAAAATATTGCATTGCAATACGTTTTTATATATACCGGCAAAACATTTAAACTCATGATTTCTATGATAAAATATGCAGTAAAAGTTGTCAGAAACGTTTGCGACCGTGACAAATATTATGGCAAAAGCTGTTGTATGCGTGTATTTCGATGCATAATTGGAATTAATTATTAATCAACAAGTTTTTTTTCTTGGTCATTGTTCTAACATAGTTATGTACATACGTCTTGTAAATGGAAGATAATAAAATAAGAAAACGTCATTTTAAATGGCATTGAAATTATTGCTATACATATCGCAATACAATTAAAATATCGAATTTATCGCAGTACGAAATCTCTCGCCAATACCCAGCCCTACATCCGTGTAAGATCTAGACAAACCAAGGAGATCACTCGAAGCTCGCATGTTAAAATATGCAAGGGAATTTTTACCAGATTTTTTGAAATTTTGGGGCAATATATTTTCATTTAACAGTTAATTTTGTTTTGTACTTCTACGGAACTTTTACAGTGTTGTATTATACTCTGGTGACCGTTAAGGCCTTTGGGCCTCTTGTTTTGTTAAGTTTTAGAGCTCGCCCCTCTACTGGTATGTGATTGATTGTATATTGTTTTGGGGCCATTCGAGAATTTTTCACTGTTTTTCAACAACTAGTCTACCGTGACCGGTCCGCTGGTATTTCAAAATACTACAGGAAAGAAACTAAAGCTTGTATACAAATATTGTCCCCCCGCCTTAAGGGGGATTTTCAGCTTTATACAGCATTATCAATGGGATTTATATATGCTATTTCTCTCATCTTTTCTTTATATATTGAAAGCACTTCGGACATAAAGTCTTTATATTCTCAATTTTTTCGTGAATTTGTGTGTTGTTGCAATTCCAGAGTCAAACTACAAGTCTAGCAAGCGTACATGTACGTCATTTTGTACCTACCTAGCACCGCTGACGTTACATGTTAGTTCCTGCATAAGAACTGATGGTTCTTTGTTTTCACTCTGGTTGAATAATTTCTCAGAAAAAACGTTTACGCTAATAATGAAAGAACCCCTAATTAGCAGATCCTTGGTCTAGATAAGAGTTCAACTCAGCTTTACACAAAGTCTGATGTACATGCCCGCTGCTCTGTTGATATCAACATTGTTTTTGCAGTTGCAATCAAATTTCGATCGCTTAATGATATTTTTATGTAATTGGTCTCGATATTTCGAATTGAAGAACATGCATCGAAGTATAGTCCCCGACACACGACATATCCGAATTATATGTATATGTAATTGAAAACAAAGAAAAAATTGTAGTGTTAACGAACGTATGAATTGAGACGATAACGAATAGCAATCATACCCAAAAAGTCAAACGAAACAGTACAAATTGTGAGCAGAGCAAACAAGGGCAGATACTGTTTGTGCCTTGTCATGATCGGATAAACGGAAAATCAGAAGTCAAATTACTATTAAAATTATTGCCTAAAAATTTTTATGAAAGAGGTCAATTAGCATTCATCTAACGATTGATTGTATTTGCAAACAAAATCATTGTATCTACCATAAAATTTGCAAATTGCCCACTGTTGACTTGTAAATACCTTTGATTCATCAACTTATTTGTCACTTGTATGTTTCCAACCTGACCTCAAAAAACCTACAAAGGTATGTCTATGAACTCAATTATCTTTTTTTATCAAGCACAGAAAAAGTATCTTTTTAACATTACGAATTAGAAAGTCGGAGTTTCAAATCCAATTTTCTTTAAAAGTTTTGACAATACTAGTAACATTACATTTCAGAATGAAAACAAATTTAAAACAAGATTAGATAATATTAGATATAAGTGGATGCCTAACTTATTTTTTGGAAATTCGAAGTGGTAAATCAAATTATTTTTCACTTAATTGTTTCAACAAGCTAATATATTTTGTACTGGAAGAGAACTGACGCAAAATAAGTTAATCTTGGTAATCTACAAGTAATGCTCTTTCATACAAATGTATCTGTTATGTTTCATGTTTCTATTTTCATTTGTTTTTTTGTGTGGTTTTTTTTTGGAGGGGGGGGGGTGCGAGCAGAACATATCATTTATTCAGAAAATTGTCTAAAACTTGGAACTCCAGGTGAAATTATCAAATTCCTCTCAGATTATCAAGTTGCAAATCATTTCAAATTATGTCTGAAAATTTAAAAAAAAAACACTTTTCAAATAGTTTTTGAGAAATCGCGTACACGAAATTTTGGTCTAAATATAAGATGACAGAATCACTATGAGGTCTTCTATGAAAACGGAATACCTAAATAACTGAATGTCTCAATGAATTCCAAACAGCAGTCGTATTAACTACGTTCATTTCCAGGTATAACAAAATATTTAATAAAACCTGTTATTTTTTCAAAGAAAGTTCTCTCTGAAGATAGAATGGAACATAATTTTTTCCCTTTTTTTCTTTCTTTCTATCCATTGAATTAAACTGCAATATAGAACGCTATTGGATTATGTAGCAATAAGCAGTAGGCATGGCTTATGATTACCTTTTAAATTAAATAAATGCTGTAGATTTAATAGATTACGGATTATTTTTTTTTAGTTTACTGCATCATGGCATTGAGCACAGGGTGGGTATGTCAGGTTGACAGGAGATACTTACTCCTCAATAACACCTGATCCCACTTCTGTTTTCAGAGGTCTGTGCATGCCTTGCCTTTTGAGCATGATTACTGTTATCTTCACATTTCATGCATACAAGGCTCAATATAGAATTGGAATAGATATTCCTGACATAGAAAAAAAAGTTTAAGTTCCTGTGTTCTTTAAAGGATAATCGATAATTATTGCCCATGCCTTAGAATGAACATTACTTTTTTTCTGAAATCTGGCATCAAATTTTTAAATATCTATATATACAGCGAATATAATTGATAAATGTTTGCTATTATAGGCATATACATTATATTGGGATGAGACTGTATAAACCAAGGTCCGATGTCGCAGTTGGTGTTGGCACGAAAAAGATCCCTCTCTGTTCTATGACCCTGAGTGCCTAGTATAGGTATAAATTTTCAGCCCTCCACCGGCAAGTGGTGGCGTCTCCAAATGAGTGAAAAATTCTTGAAAGAGACGTTAAACAACAAACAAAAAAACCAGTATTCTGCAAAGTTTATACATGTTCCAATTTTTTTTTTCATAGTAAAATTATTCTTGAACTAAGTAAGAATACATTTTATTTATTATAAAACTTTAGATTCCTGTGAAATACATGTTTGAAGTTTAAAAATAAAGCTGAAATAAGGCAAAAACTACAAAATCAAACACTTCTTTTAAACTGTATGATTCTTTGATTTAATTTTTTGTCCATCCCATTAGATAGATATGGATAATCACTTATAATGGATATTTTGGTGAATCAGCAATTATTTAGTAATTCTGCAAGACTTAATCATTGTTTTTCGGCATCATGAAAGATTCCATAAACACTATTGCGTCATGGATACTACTAGGCTATTCCGTATTTACATCATCCATCATTAGTCCTGTAATCAGCCCTTTCTTCTTCTTTATACTCGGTGTCCCACTGCTATTCTTTATATCCATTGTCCTCTTTTCATTAACCATCCCAGTTCCTTTCTTTTATAATCTTTGCCCCACTCCCAATAATTTCCTTTATAACCAGTATCCCACCCCTCGCTTAAAATCAGTGTTCCACCCCTTTCTTTTATAATCAGTGTCCCATCCCTTTCCTTTATAATCAGTGTCCATCCCTGTCCTTTATAATCAGTGTTCCAGCCCTGTCCTTTTGTAATCAGTGTTCCACCCCTTTCTTTTATAATCAGTGTCCCATCCCTGTCCTTTATAATCAGTGTCCTATCCTTGTCCTTTATAAGCAGTGTCCCTCCCCTGTCCTTTAAATTCTTTAAAATCAGTAATCATCCTGTCCTTTAAAATCAGTGTCCGACCACCCTCCTTCATAACCAGTGCCCCTACCCTCTCCATCATAACCAGTGCCCCATCCCTCTCCTTCATAACCAGTGCCCCATCCCTCTCCTTCATAACCAGTGTTCCATCCCCCTCCTTCATAACCAGTGTTCCATCCTTGTCCCTCATAACCAGTGTCCCATCCCCCTCCTTCATAACCAGTGTTCCATCCTTGTCCTTCATAACCAGTGTCCCATCCCCCTCCTTCATTACCAGTGTTCCATCCTTGTCCTTCATAACCAGTACCCCATCCCCCTGCTTCATTACCAGTGTTCCATCCTTGTCCTTCATAACCAGTGTCCCATCCCTCTCCTTCATAACCAGTGTTCCATCTTTGTTCTTCATAATCAGTGTTCCATCCTTGTCCTTTATAACCACCCTGGCCTTTATAACCAGTGCCCCTCTTTTTTCCTTTATAAGCAATGTTCGACCCCTGCTCTTTTTTAAATCCAAAGTCCGTTTGCTCTTCTTTCTCTTCTTTAGTGCTCCACCCCTGTTCTTTATAATCAGTGTTCCACCCACCTCCTTTATAACCAGTGCCTCTCTTATTTCCTTTATAATCAGTGTTCCACCCTTGTCTTTCATAACTAGTGTTCAAACAATGTCCTTTATAACCAGTGTCCTTCTTCTTTCCTTTATAATCAGTGCCCCTCTTTCTTCCTTTATAATCAGTGTTTGACCCCTGCTCTTTTTTAAATCCGAAGTCCCTTTGCTCTTCTTTCTCTTCTTTAAACTTGGTGTTTCTTTGCTCTTTCTTATACACTGTTGTAAAGTTTGAGACCATTTTTGGTTCATCAAGCACTTGATTTACTGGAGGAGAGAATTTAGTTTTTGGTGAGTTCCTTTTCAGAGGGGCGAACGCAGCTTCTGATGATTCCTGACCATTTTTCAAACTATAACCATCCTCATCAGCTGTTATTGTTGTTGGTTTTATTTTTCCAAACATTTCAGAGATTTGTTCAGGTACAGCATATGGTGAGAAACGCACTGTGCTTGCACTGAGTTTAGATGGTAATTTTCTATATTTTGCAGAGTCTAATTGGAAGTTTAACATTTGGAAAACATCACTAGAATTCATCATTTTGTGCAAAGATTCAACATCATCATTTATGTTAGAGATGCAGATATTAATATTTGATAAATGCTTTTTCAGAGTTTCCTTATGGTTGTTTTTCATGTCGTCAACTTCATCTTTAAGTTTCTTGACAAGTTTGTCAATTTCTCTGTGCCAGTCCTCTCCATGTTTTGTTATGTCTGTTGGGAGTTCTTCATATTTCTTATCTAGTTGACTTAATGTGTTTTGTACATCTGCTGCTATATCCAAGTAGGTTGGAGAGATGATTTTTTCCAATTCATTAATTTCTGTCTGTACTTCCTCTTTCCTTCCAGCAAGTTTGTCCTTAAGCAAGAGGATGTCATGTTCTTTGTGTTTTTTGGAGGCAATACAAGCGGAGCAGACTGGAGTATTGCATTCTTTGCAAAACAAGTCACAGCTGTTGTCTGAGTGATTTGTGCATCCAGGGTAGAGGGGAGCACTATTTCTAGACTGAAATTTGACAACTTTGTGATCTTTGGATTCATTTGTTGAAATGTGTTCTCCCACACAGGCCTTACACAGGTTGACAAGACATGTATCACAGTGCATCTGTACCACAGCAGTCTCACACAAGTCACATCGCATCACGTCCTGGGCACTGGTACGGGGGTCCATGGACAGGAGGATAGGAAATATTGTCCTAAAGTATAGAGAATAAAACAATAATTAGTTGAACTGTATATATTCAACAAAACAACACTAATCAAGAGATTTAAGGATATCCGATCCTCAGCTAAGAACGATAACTCGTAAATCTATTATTTAATTTCAAAAAGTATCAAAATAAAGCTTGTAATTGAAATGTTTTCTGGTAACAATTTTCATTTTAAGCATCTCAATATGATTTAAGGTTCTTTGAGAGGTTAGAAATGAAATTATAAAAAAATTAATATTTATACCCCACAAAAGTACAGAAAAAATCTATTTCCTTTAATCTAGCATTAATTACCAATGCTTATTAGCATGGTATAAAATTGAAAGTGATCAATAATGTATTGCAATGATAGTACAAGCTTTTTACATTAAATAATATATTACGAAATAGACGACTAAAATACTGTATAAGTGTGGAAAACATGCAACTACCTCCAAATGCCTGGATACCTATAGTTTTGAATCCAAAAATACATTAGTTGCTTAATTTTTAATTAAAAAATCCATAGCTGGTGCTTTAATTCGCATTAACTGAAAATATTTGAGATTTGATAATTTTCCCTATATAATATGAATAACTTTACCGATGAACTCTGAAGAAAAACCACGGGTATATACATGCTACTCTGTGAAATCTAAGACATTTTCGGGAGCATTTTCAATTATTGAAAATCTGATTTTCAGAATCTTAGGATAGGCATGTTCGAGTCTACGTTGTATTATGCTGTCTATTAAATAGATTCTTCAGATAAATATATATACTAGTATACTGTGGTATTTATTCATATATGAAGTCTTTTAAATAACCTTAGTAAATAAAGGATTCGTTCTCTAATTTTTCACACCAAAACTGTGTGCTACACATCAGAAAAGACAAGAATTATACTCCCCTTGGGTTCAATGCGATCAAAAGTTTTAAATATTATACTTTCATATAAATTAGTAGAATCTGATTCGTCGAGAAACATTTGTTAAAAACACTAATACCCGCTGAATGATGAAGCCACGCCCTCCAGCGTAGCAACAGTCAACACTGCTTGACGGGTGTTATTCCAAAAAATAGTGACTGCGCAGAATTTATGCGCGCAAGGTTCACTGTTATATGTAATTATATAAAACATTCAGTATGATATAATAAATATTGCATGTAGTTGAGTGTAACATTGAAAATTTTCACCCCTCGAAAACCATTGTCAATCTTGGCCGCGCCTCGGTTGACAGTGGTTTTCTTGGGGTGAAAATTTTCAATGTTACACTCAACTACATGCAATATTTATATAATGTAGTGGGAAACTATACTGAAGCAAGATATAGCTAATCCCCTTCGTATTACACTTTACGCGACTATATTACAATATTGCAGTAACAAGTGTTATTTGTTTGGTGGCAAATTTCTGCCCATTACATCCAAGATAAATTATGATATTTACCTTCAGTGTAATTTTCTTTTGAAATCCATTTGAAATCTACGACGTTCAAATCTCTATAACACACGCGAAACCTTGTCACCACGCGGTAGAATAGACAGTAGGAACTTTATGCATATTTAATGTCTAAGAACACCAAAATGTTTATTGTTTTGACTTAATTTAATACAAAAACAACTACCCTGTTAAATTAACGTAAAATACAAAAAATCTGTGTTTGAAATTAATTTGACATTTTTTTCTCGCAACGTCATTTGCGTTATTTAACTTTCCAACGTCACAAACAGCTCTTACGTCTATTAAGCACATCAGTTCTGAAAGGCGATAAATTCATAATAAAGATTAATGAAATAATCAATTACGAAGAGAGAAAATTAGAGAACGTCAATATAAACATTGAATTCTTATTTTTATACCGCGCTAATGTGCGGTATTCAATTTGTCGGCACTGCTATGTGTGTTATACATGTAGGACCGACGACATGCAAAAATAAGAATTCAATGCTTAAATAGTATGTCAACATGCAGGATAATTATGTCTATATGCATAATAATTATGTTGACATGCACGTTACCAATCTATTTAGAGGATCAAACTTACTTACTAACGCCTGTATACACCAACATATAAACAAGATGCAACATAATTATGTTAACATGCGACTTATTTAATATGCATGATAATTATGTCAACATGCAGGATATTCAAATCAACATGTGAGTTATTTATGGCCACAGGGGAAATAATTACGTTAACATGCAACTTATTTATGTCAACATGTCACTTATTAATGTCAACATACAACGTACGTATGTCAACATGCGACTTATTTGTGTCAACATGCTAGTTATATTTTAACATGCAAGATATTTATGTCAACATGCAAGATAATAAGTTACATGTCAACATAAATATCTTGCATTGTCACATCAAAATCATCCTAGCATATTTTTGTTAATTTATTTTAAATTTTCATGTAAATATCCCGTGGGACACCCTTCCTTTTAAATGTGTTATTACTGTACATACCCTTCACTGAACCTCAATTCACTGGACCTTAAAACCCGCCAGTCCATGCCAGTTAGATTGGACGCGGCAGTCCAGAGAGGAGGACGCCTCTATCTCCTCTTATATCTTTGTTTTTTTTACATGTATGTACCCTTGTGATTCATGGCAGTGCTTGCTCTGGTGTGATATTATTTTTAGCAGTGTAATGGTCCAGCTTTTCTAAGGTAAGGCTTATATTTATAATTCTATTTTAGTTATTTCTTATAAATTATTCATTTGTCCTAAAACATCCAGTCACCGCATTTCTCATCAGTTTTAGCATGTATATTTTGTTTAATGTGATTACTATATATAGCAACACGTATATGAATATTTCAAAGTACGGTGTACAATTTCTGTCATAATAGTTTGTCCGTAAAGTAGCAATTCGCAATTTTGCATTTGTGTAAGAGTTGTATGTATAATTTAAACAACTCATGTGTGTGTTTTATTGAGTCTTATCTAAGACGTGTCCATTATCTATAGATCTGATAATGAGTGTAATGTGTATTTGTGTAAAGCCACTAGAGCTTGTATGTAAAACTTGTATTTATATGTTGGAGCAGGTTCCATCCATATGTCAGAGTTTTTTGTACAACAGTGAGGCCACCCAGTGCCTAAAGTCCGCCCATGGCGTGTAGTAGATAGGCCAGCCAGCCTTGGAACCTAGAGTCCATCCTCCAGCCTGTGAGGTGGAAAAGCCAGCGGCGAGACGGGAAATTACGACAAACAACAACAATGACATTTGTATATAGTATCATCATTCATTAAAGATGTAAATTGTAAAAAAAAAAAAAAAAAAAAAAAAAAAAAAAAAAAAAAAAAAATTTAGTTGTATTTTAATTAGTTAAAAGATAAATCCGCTCGACAATCTGTGACAAATTGGTGTCAGAAGTGGGATAACGCAGGTAGGTTAAGGTTTCCCGTAGAATATGACAGTGCACTATGTGCCTTAGTGTCTGAACTACCAAAATATGACGTCATAATGGAAAATGACGTCAGGTCACTGCAAACTTGAGGTGTTATGACGGGGAGAGTGTCATGAACTTTACACTTTATTTCAAACTGCATCTAAAATGCTATATAGCTATTGCAAAATTCACGGGTCGTTAAAGGTTTTTTTAAGTCTTATATGTCCGAATATTTTAAAAATACACCGCTTACCTACCCTTGATTGAAATTCATCATGTTCAAAATGCTTATGAAAAATATACTTTTGAAATGTACTCTGTTTTATACCCGTGGATGGAGGTAGAATTTATTTTGTGCGTATAACAGAGTCTGGCGCAGGTGATTAATGAGGATTAATCTGAGAATTTTTGTGGAAATCTGTAAGAAGAGGTTGTTCTCTAACTGAATCTTGCTTGGGAAAAATGTGTGTTGGCTTTGTTTTAATACAGATTACGATATTGTGTGGACAATACCCTCAAATTTGTAGGTAAGTTGAATTTCTCAGGAAATATTTTGTACCCGAGTAATACTATGACTTTTCCCAAGGACATTTCGGTAACACAAGGATACGATTAGTTTATTTATATAACAAAATGTTAATAATTATTGTGTTAATCAGCTGCGCCGAAGCGATTTATATGAAACGCTTCAAAAAATTATAAATGACCGTCACGTGATCAACAAAGTCATGTAATATCATAACAAATATGCCAATATATAGCCGAGGAAACCCTTTATATAAATTGGAAGTACTAAAGTTCAATACTTATAAATTAAAACCAAAACTGACCTCGCAATGACATATTATGTTTTGAGCGCATTTTAAAGCTTCGGGAAGCCTTAACATAGCTGCGAAGATTCCCTAAGAATATATTTTTTTATTGTCTGTGAAACCATCTTAAGTTTTTAAAAATACTTTGTAGAATTTTGTAAAATTTGAAAAGAAAAATGAACGTAATATTTTTCTCTGGTTGAATTTTGTTTGCTTTCTGTTTTCTACATGCTGTTTCATTTTATATTTTCCAATTTGCTTTAGTGTTTGTTCTATGTTGTAGAGAATCAGCCGGATTCTGGTTGTTTGGGACCTCAGAAAAGTGCTAACAGGAGTTGGGCCTGTCTCGGTGAGTTGGACCATTCTGGTAAAGACAGAGTAAGCAATGGTGCATGTTGCGTAGCTGGGTGTAAAGATTATCGCGATGAGGTTAGTAATTGCATAGATTTTGCTGGTTGTAAGGTAATTAAAGGTGAAATGAGGTTCGAATCAAAATTTGCTTCGTCACATGTGTTAGTTATCTCCAAAATGGATGATTTAAATGAGTTGAAATTATTTGGGGAGAGCTTAGGTCTTCAAGCTTCAGACCTGACAAATTTTATTAAAGAGCAGCAAGCTATACAGAGAGATGAAAGACAAGCTCAGAGAGAGAGTTAGATAAGATCAAAATAAATTCTCAAACTGAGGTTGAAAGAGAGAGACTAAGTTTTGAGTTAGAGAGAGAGAAAATGAGAAATGATATTGAGAGAATGAAACTAGAACA